AGCCAGTTCTACCTCCGCCTGGCGTGTTTCAAAGAGAAGACCTGTACTCAAGGATACGTTGGCGACGAGTCCAGCATTTATCATGCGAATTCTGGGACCGTTGGAGCAAGGAATTTCTTCATAGCTTACAAGAGAGGTCCAAGTGGACGAGACCACGCCGTAACATGCAAGTTGGCGACGTAGTTATCGTTAAAGACGACAACAAGGCGAGGAATCGGTGGAGCCTTGCTCGTGTGATAGAAACGTACCCCAACAAGGCCGATGGACTGGTGCGTAGTGTCAAGGTAGCGATTGGAGACCCTGATATCTCCAGCACTGGAAAGAGAGTGCACCCCCCATCAGTTTTGGAAAGACCCATTCAAAAGCTTGTCCTGCTGCTGCCAAGAGAGGAAAGACTGGGATTCCCGCATGGGGAGCCATTCAACGAACATATTCAAAAGGAGGACTAGACACGGACATGTCAGTGAACTCTGAACTTTTTACTTTAATTATGTTTCGTTTTGTTTGAAATACGGTGATTTCAAGGGGAGCCATGTAAGTGCCCCTAAGGCGCGGGTTTAACCCTTGTTTTGATTTAGTAATCGTTTAATTAATAATCTGTAAAAGTCACACTAGGTGCCTCGTCACGCGTTCCGTAAGTGGTATCGCATTTCCAAACAGAACGGATCTATTGTGCAATTCAATAATTCGATCGATTTCGCAAGCACTCGTGGTTTAATAGAAAGAAATTGTCTGTCGTTTTTATCGAAGGAAGGAAAGGTCCTTTTGTGTCAACTCTCGCCAGATCCGGCAACAATGTAAGTTTAATTTACCTCGAGTGTTTCTATAGCTAATTTCTTGTCCCTAATTTTGTGAATCAATTATTTTTAGCTTCACGGTCAAATACGACATTTAATAAAGGAGGCGTTCCATGAAAGAAATTGGGGCGATATTTGTTGTGTCGATCAGTGAGATTCGTACGGTCCAGCTAGCGGCGATCAAGCGTCGCTATAACCATTATTCCCAACTTCTACACAGACAGTGTTAGATTACAATTTTTCTACAACCTGCCTTTAGTGTGCATCTGTTACAATTATTGTATACAAAAAATTAAATTATAATTTGACCCAGAAATAATGTAAACAGAAATAAATATGTCAGGAATTATTTGGTGGTTATTTGCCTCCAGTTATCAGAGAAAGCATAGAAAAATGTTTTAATTGTGCCTTTCAAAAACATGCAACCTCATGCAAACTCTGGTCCCTCCTGCTTTCCTTCCCAAGCCCAAGGGAAAAAAAGTTTACAAGTTACAATTCATTTTCCTGCATGACAACAAAGGCTTTTGTCTTCAGTACTTGAATAGGAGACAATTGAATCAAAACACGTGAGAATAAACGAACAATGCCAGAATAAACGCAGGAATAAATACAAGGAGTTCAAAAACCAAATTATTATTACCCAGGCCCATGCTATGTTCTACTAAACAGAGTAATATTGACACAAACAATATTTAAGAATTAGAAATCATTTTCCATGTTTGAGAACCTGTTAGGCTAAACTTTCACAGTTACCCCCCCCCCCCGTCTATATAAGAACCCCTTTAGCCTAATATTAGAAAAGGGTTTTTATTTTGTAAAATCATTTTAAAATGTTTACTTTTTGCGCAGTACATTTACTTAATAATGTTATGTTCTGAATAAGGACTTCAAGTTCGTGTAATTAGTGCTTCAGTAGTTTTCTATTCTGTTTAATTAGCAACAATGTTTATTTTTATTTAAAAAATAGTGCATCAATTTTCTTTGCACGCAACATCTCGCGAAACTCGCACTTTAGTCACCCGCGCGCGACTAAAATCTTTTCGACCCCCCTCATGTAAAGTGCGCGCGCATATCACGTGCTCAACTCTGCGTCCTGTCCTTCTTTCGTCTTGTCCCGTTCGTGCGTACATAAGATGGCTTCGAGTTCTCCAACAAAATCTGCTGCATCCAGCCCTTACAAAGACGTTCATGGGTACATCCATTGTTTCTGAAATACAGATACCTTCCGATCCAAAATCTGCTGGATACTTCGACTTCACCATTCAAGAAAACCAAGAAAACACGCGAGTGATCTGTTTCACTGCAGAAAAAAAAGATGAGCTGAAACGAAGGGAGGAAGCCAAACTTCCTACTTCCCTCACAAGCATCAGAACACAAAAAAGAAGATATGGCGATGGTGTAGAATACAAGATGAACAAGTACTCTAGAATTGAACAAGCTAAAACTTAGCGTTTCAATGGAAAGCATCGAACACCGACCGAAGTGAAATCACACAAATTCTACAAAGTGCACTGAATGGTCAATCTGTAGGACTGAAAGCTAAAGTTTTAATCAAAGGAGATAAGGAAACTGTGTATTCAAAACAGGCGAAAAAAAACCTCACCAAATGTAACATTGTTGTCGCTGACACTACTGGAGCGATAACTGTAACTCTGTGGGAAAGTCAAATCGCCGAAGTTCAACGGCACAGCTGTTATCACTTCAAAGAACTTAAGTTGAATTGGTACAAAAAAAAAATATCTCGGCTCTTCCACAAAAACAACGATTGAAAAGTGCGAAAACATCGACATTCCAGGTGGGATTACCAGTGAAGCTGAAAACATAAAACCACATGAAAAGGCAAAGAAGAAAATCACCGGTACTATAATGACGGTAGAGATTAAGAAGACATACATTTGCATAAATTGCAAGTACAAAATTACCGATGCTCCTGAATTAAATATTATAAAATGCCCCAACTGTAACTTGAAGATCAAAAAATGTGAACTGGTATCTAGTACTACGGCAAACATCGTGATATAAGACGAAAGTGGAGAAAATATGGGAAGATTCTTTTGTACACATGCTGTTCTAACTGAGTTATTTCAATTATATCAAGACACTGTCCATTTTTTATGACGCATGGGGATCCTCCTGGGGTTTAGGGGAGATGCATGTAAAAAAATGGGGCTTCACAGGAGGGGACATAGGCCAAGAAATTAGCCTCTGAATGGGAGGTCACCCCAAATAATTCCCATGACCAGCAATAACAGATACAATAAAAATTATCCATTATATGAATGAGCTGGCTCTCAGACCCCTTTGTTTTAACTTTGTGCTGACATAAACACGGAACCCGTCCCAGGCTCCTACGCATGGAAATTCCCAGTTCTCAAGGAAGCTATCAAGTTCATGCTTCCATTTGGCTCTGTTTCTTGGCAAGTAAACACATCTGTCGTAAAGAGTTGACACCAATATCTTACATACCTGGTTAAAAATGACACTTGCAGTTGATTCTGCAACACCGAACAGGTCTTCTATCTCACCAAGAATGAACTGAAACATTGCTCAACTTGTACACAAACGTTTTTTGAACGCAGTATCGTCCCAATTTCAGTAACCATTTCTCCACCACAAGGAACTTCTTTTTTTGATCCGCACCCTGTTCTTTCCTTGGTCTCTTCATAGTCGCGGTACATAAGCCAAGTGCCTCAACCATATCTAGTTCTCCGTCCATAGTCTGCAAAAGCTGCTTCCTCGATTGATTTTTCCTCGTTATTTGCATTTCCATTTCTTACCTTTCTTGGCGACGTTGAGAAATGGACTTCAGAATTTGAAATTTGGCCATCTTTATTTTGTTTGTATATTTGCGCGCTCAGAGTTTATTTTGCGCTTGTTTACTTCTGAGAATAGAGCCCAGTCTTTTCTTAGAAGAGCCTAAAAGTCGCCTACTTTTATGCGTCTTGTTTTTATACCAGACGGCTTTAACGTCTCAGATGTTAAATGCGTCAAGCCGACTTTAATGTCTCTAGTATAAAAACGGCCAATGTTTTTAAATCCTTTCTAGCTGAACAAAAGGCTGCAATGCACCTTGGATTGTAATTTTGTATATATGAATTATTTATTATATTTTATCTTTTTAATATGGTACATTTTATTGTTATTAGTTGTAGCATCTATATTTTGTAGTTGTTTTAAGGGCCACAGAGTCATAAGTGTCTTAGGGCTACTGTTAAGTGTTTTTACCCTCTCTAAACAAAGCCCACTATTATTATTATTATTATTATTATTATTATTATTATTATTATTATTATTCTCATTATTATTATTATTATTACGATTATTGCAATTGCCATGGTGGCGGCTGTGTCTTTTAGCTGCTCCAGAAAGCCGAAAGTGAAATGGACGAACCAAATGAATAATGACGTTTTGGAGTGTAAGAGACGAGTGCAAGAGCTAGTTGCATTGGATAGCGCGCCTTTGAATCGAAACGGCAGAAAGAAAGGCTACATTGAAGTCATGAAACAGCTTTGGGAAGAGAAGGGATACAGACATCTTGCTCTTAAAGGTCAGAATTTACGTGATCAAGCGTCAAGGCTGGAGAAATGTCGAGGGTTTAGCCGATGAGAGCTGTGTGAACGGTGCAACAGTGATAAGTATAGATGAGTCTATATTACCAAGTGGAAATAGTGATACGGTATTTGTTGAAGGAAACAGAAATATTGAGAGAGAAGATGCTAATCAAGCGAGGCCAAATTTACATATGTCCACAGTGCAACTCCCGGAGGAGCTGCAGTCTGATCA